CTTTGTTGTGGTAAACACTGCCATCTAGTGACGGCCTTTTGAAGCCGTCTATTATTATAATTATTATATGTAGTACATTATTATTAAGTTTACTGAGTATACCAGGAAAAGTATACGGTAGGGTTATAATTGAAAGAATTAGAGGTAAGACAGAATGTAGAATTGCGGATGAGCAAGGAGGCTTCAGAGTGGGTAGGGGATGTGTAGATCAAGTGTTTACATTGAAGCATATATGTGAACAGTATTTAGATAAAGGTAGGGAAGTTTTTATTGCATTTATGGATTTAGAAAAGGCATATGATAGAGTGGATAGAGGAGCAATGTGGCAGATGTTGCAAGTTTATGGAATAGGTGGTAAGTTACTAAATGCTGTAAAGAGCTTTTATGAGGATAGTGAGGCTCAGGTTAGGGTGTGTAGAAGAGAGGGAGAATACTTCCCAGTAAAAGTAGGTCTTAGACAGGGATGTGTAATGTCACCATGGTTGTTTAATATATTTATAGATGGGGTTGTAAAAGAAGTAAATGCTAGGGTGTTCGGGAGAGGGGTGGGATTAAATTATGGGGAATCAAATTCAAAATGGGAATTGACACAGTTACTTTTTGCGGATGATACTGTGCTTATGGGAGATTCTAAAGAAAAATTGCAAAGGTTAGTGGATGAGTTTGAGAATGTGTGTAAAGGTAGAAAGTTGAAAGTGAACATAGAAAAGAGTAAGGTGATGAGGGTATCAAATGATTTAGATAAAGAAAAATTGGATATCAAATTGGGGAGGAGGAGTATGGAAGAAGTGAATGTTTTCAGATACTCGGGAGTTGACGTGTCGGCGGATGGATTTATGAAGGATGAGGTTAATCATAGAATTGATGAGGGAAAAAAGGTGAGTGGTGCGTTGAGGTATATGTGGAGTCAAAAAACGTTATCTATGGAGGCAAAGAAGGGAATGTATGAAAGTATAGTAATACCAACACTCTTATATGGATGTGAAGCTTGGGTGGTAAATGCAGCAGCAAGGAGATGGTTGGAGGCAGTGGAGATGTCCTGTCTAAGGGCAATGTGTGGTGTAAATATTATGCAGAAAATTCGGAGTGTGGAAATTAGGAGAAGGTGTGGAGTTAATAAAAGCATTAGTCAGAGGGCAGAAGAGGGGTTGTTGAGGTGGTTTGGTCATTTAGAGAGAATGGATCAAAGTAGAATGACATGGAAAGCATATAAATCTATAGGGGAAGGAAAGAGGGGTAGGGGTCGTCCTCGAAAGGGTTGGAAAGAGGGGGTAAAGGAGGTTTTGTGGGCGAGGGGCTTGGACTTCCAGCAAGCGTGCATGAGCGTGTTAGATAGGAGTGAATGGAGACGAATGATACTTGGGACCTGACGATCTGTTGGAGTGTGAGCAGGGTAATATTTAGTGAAGGGATTCAGGGAAACCGGTTATTTTCATATAGTTGGACTTGAGTCCTGGAAATGAGAAGTACAATGCCTGCACTTTAAAGGAGTGGTTTGGGATATTGGCAGTTTGGAGGGATATGTTGTGTATCTTTATACGTATATGCTTCTAAACTGTTGTATTCTGAGCACCTCTGCAAAAGCAGTGATAATGTGTGAGTGTGGTGAAAGTGTTGAATGATGATGAAAGTATTTTCTTTTTGGGGATTTTCTTTATTTTTTGGGTCACCCTGCCTCGGTGGGAGACGACCGACTTGTTGAAAAAAAAAAAAAATTATTATTATTATATATATATTATTATATTAATTATTATTGTATTATACTATTATTATTATTATACGTATTATTATTATCGTTATTATTATATAAATTATTTGTAATTTTTATTCACACAATAAATATAAGATTTACTGTTATTCCTCATTGCAATAATTGTATAAATATGTCAACCCATTCACGACTGCATATTGGAATGGACAGTGACGTCATTTGTTTACTCTGAAACAGCCAAGAAACGGACCATTTCTCCGAGGTTGAGCTCAATATCAAGGCACTTTTCGTCATGAAAGCAATCAAAATCTTATCTATTTCTGTAATACATCTTCCATTCTATCAAATGAGACCAAAAGAATGAGAATACAACCATAAAATCCATACGAAAATAACACTAAGGGGTGGCTAACTGCTAAGAAGTGAACTCCATTATTTATGCTTAGATTTCTTTCATTTTTGGTGTACGTTAAGAAGCATCTTTCCATCATACATTGCCCAAGTTTCAATAAGATAGTCCAACAAACAAATGAGATACAATTCCCGAGATCAAGAGCAAGAGCCCCTCACCAGTGTCAAGGAACCTGCCTTGAGGTTTGCTCGCTTGTGGAAATTTTGCTCGTGTATGGAAGCAAAAAATCGACCCATTGACTGCTCATATTTGGAAAAACTCGCACGTGGACACGCTTGCAAGTAGAGGTTCCACTGTATATGCTTATATATCTTTATATATACTTCTAAACTGTTGTATCTGGGTGCCTCTGCAAAAACAGTGATTATATATGAGTGAGGTGAAAGTGTTGAATGATGAAAAGTATTTTTTTTTTTTAACCCAGCACAACCCAAGCCAAACAATGTGACTTACTGTTAAAAGAAATAAGGACAAACAGTTATTTATACCAGTTTATACTGTACAATCCAAGTGGCTATATTCCAGGCTATGCATCTTCAAACATTCTGAGTTCTAAAACACATTACAATGCTTCTATTATCAAGACAAACTACTGTACCTAGTGTCAGACAATAAAAACAAAAATGAAAAAACTATGGCAGCATCACAACAATGTTGCCAACAGTGTTGTTGTTGTTGTTCAACTTAAAACATGCCATAAAATGATACAGTACAGTATCATCTGATTTCTCCATGGGGAAGTGGAAAATAATTCTTCCTCTGTAAGTCATGCATGTTGTAAGAGGTGACTAAAATGCTGGGAGCAAGGTGCTAGTAACCCCTTCACCTGTATAAATTACTAAATGTAAAAAGAAGAAAAACTTTGTTTCCTCTTTTCTGAGTTATGCTACCTCATTAGGAGATGGTCAGTCTGTTAAAAAATCTGATTGTTTTTCTTTCTAATTTCACTTAAAAAATATGCCATTTTAATCAATAACAATTTTTTTTTCAAACTTTTGCCACACCACCAGCACTTTCAATCTGCACATCTGCCACAGTTTAAGGGTTAATGAGTTACCAGCCAAACTGGTCAGTAGAGACCATATCTTTATACCTATCCCCATATTTGATTCCAACCAGCCCGCTCATGTTCTAATCTCTACCACCATTCCATCTACACACAATACAAGTTCTAAACCTCAGTAAGGGTTAGGCAGGATTTATGTTTTAATCCACTACCAGTTTCTAAACTTTCACTCAAAGTGAGAAAGACCAATGTGGTAATTCATCACCTGTTCCTACTTTTACTCAGTCTTCCAATTACTTTCACACAAGCTTAACTTCCACTACAAATACCATCAGAGTTAATTCCCTTACTATATCATCCCAGTTGAAAACGTCTCACTGAACCTTCCAATCATATGTTATTGGTGTTTCTCCAGCTCTAGCAATGCTATGTTCAAATTCCACTCTACTATGTTTTGTTAGACATTTTAGAGTATGTGATCTACACATCTTGTGCCTTCACTGACACCTTTGTACTCCCTCCTCTTGTCCACACTCAATTAAATACCTCAAAAACAATTATGGTAAACATCCTAATCTTCAATTTAAATCGATTAAGATTAATAACGACAACAACAATAATAATAATGATGATGGAAATAATACCAACAATAGTAGTAGTAGTAGTTTGTATAAAAGTATCATGCCCTCTATGCTTTTCATGTTACTTTAAGTATGCTGTAACAAGTTCTTCCTCTAAATTAATATTATCATTTGTGTGAAAACAACATGCAATTGTGGCTGTGATAATGGATGCATCAACTAACAGCTAAGTTAACAGTAATCAGCATGGTTATTGGAATGAGCTTAAGTATAATAAACTAAGACATCATGTCCGGACACTACCTCAAGCTCTGGAATGAGCACTGCGCTGAAAGTTTAATCTATGACACACTAGTTAGTATGTACATGATTAGGAAATAAAGTTCATCCTTGGGCACAGCAGCTATGCTATTATTGAAAATCTAGTAATCAATGCTGGAACTAATTTTTACTGACTACAGTAACTCTCTTGGAGATAGATAATTAAAAGTTCAAGACAATGTGGTGTAGAGGAGTGAGGAAGATGGTTGCAACGTGAGGTAGCCAATACATTGGGTGTCAGTGTGTGAGTGCAAATAAGCCACACATGCCACTCGTTCAAACAAAAAAAAATCATACAGGCCCCTCACACTCCTCCACCGTCTTTAACAGTGCACTGTGTCTTACTGAATTTTGGACACTTGTGTTTGTACAATGCTAATAAAACAAGTTATGTTGAAAACAACTTTTGCTCGACTAAACTGAATCAATCTGACGTGCCCATGGTTCTTGCACTGTAGCTCAAACCGTGAGGAGGTAGTGTCGGAACATACATGATGTCTGACCGGGTGAGGCCGTGGAGCGGTGTCATCCACCTGCTGCGTTGGTGTCCAAGGCAGAAGTATCTGTTGCGGGGCGGCAGTGGAGTTTTGACCCTCCTTGCCATCACCCGGCCCAACAACAGCCCCTTGCTCAGGCCCCCCACCATTCCTCACTACTCCTGTCAACTGGAGGGAAAATATTAAGCCCTATTCAAACAGTAAAGACAATCTGATGTAAACTATGACAGTAGAGCCACAGTAATGCTTGTACTTATGCAGCTACTGGCATTGCACAGCTCCTCAGCTGCCCTGAAAAATACAAAATTGGGACAATTGTTGCCAAAGTTTACCTTATTAGCTGTTGGGTGCCTTTCCCGATTTTCTCTGCTTGGTGAGACAATCACCTCTGTGCCTGTCTGCGTCGACCCAACTGGTGTTGACTGTAAGATCAGGTGTTCTCTTAGACAGGAAAAGTAAATTTTTCCCCCTATGACAGTTCAAAAGGCAAACAATGACAGTCCCAATCTTTATTTATTGTACAGTTTTAGACTAGAAACAAAGCTAAGCTTTTACATGTCAAGATACACAATAAATAATACTTTTTTTTAAAATCCACCAGGAAAGTAACAAAGAGTATTTTCTTTACTTGTCTTACAATAAATAACATTTACAAGTACTTACTTTTTGCTTGAGGTACAGAAATACTTTTAGCACAAACAGCACACTATTATTGTTTCCTTAAACAACAGCGATTCAAAAAGCTTCTTACTTCCAATACACAAAATTCTGTATTGCACAATTTGGATTTAATTCTAATACTTTAACTTCAAGGTACCCTAGATAAAGAATATGCATATGGTGTATACTGTTATAAAACTGCCTATAAAGCTTTACAGAAAACAATCAAATCTTTGATTCAACAAGTGAATGAGTGACAATATATAGTCTCACTGAAGCCAAGCTTAACAGACCACTGCAATTCCCAAAGAATAATACTGAATTTGGAACACTTGATGTAGAGCCAAAAAGGTTTCAACTGGTTGAGAATGTGGCATTTATTAAGCACATTTGACTTAACAAATTGTCTTCACTACCAAGATTTTTTAATCTAGCCTACCAACATTTTGGCAAGTCAGCAAACTCTTAGAACAGACCTTGTCAGATCTGGTTTTGACGCGATCAGAAGGAGCAGCAGTTCTCAGCTGTCGCATATTAGCTAAATATTCGTCCGGCTGCACACATTTTGTGATATAAAATTAGTGTGAATTTGCTCATTTATTTTCTCCATCAAATCTATTTCATCTTATAATGACTTATCTAAACCACTCCATAATTTTATTCCAATAAGAAATCCTACAGAACCATACCATGGTTTTCCCAGTCCAGTCAAAATCTCCATCATCAACATAGCCTTTTCTTTCGAAAAGATCCTGGAAAAGCTTCCGCAAGTAGTCATAATCTGGAGTCTCAAAAAAATCCAACCGTCGTACATACCGAAGGTACGTCGCCATCTCTTCTATAAAAGACAAGGGAAGGGTACATTAGCATCAACATGAAACTCTACTCCCACTTCTAATTTGATTTATGAATCCACATTCTGCACTACTTTACAATGTATAATATGTACATAAATACATTCTTTAAGGGTTGTCCACAGCATGTAAAGTAGGAAGTAATATTTCAAGTTAGCCAGCTGGATAAAAAGTAGTTTTTATGTTCAAAAATTGCTTAATGTTGACAAATGGAAAAAAAAAAAAAAAAAAAACTTAATGCAGCGAAGTCTTTATTGGTACAACCTTTCACCCATGAGTGGTTTTTAACAAATGAATAACATGAGGAAAAATACTTTTATACAGCATTTGAAGGAGATAGTCAGGGTGCACACAAGTTAAGCAGTTCAGTACATGAAGCCTGTTGACCCACTCTAGGTTACTTTTGTTTCAAGATGATGTATAATGCAGTACTAGCAAAAGTGAGCATACTATAATTTTGTTTTATGGTGTTAGTTTGAATGCAAATGACTCCGACCACTTACATGCAATCCAGTCATTATCTTGAAACAGTAGATTAACTCTAGTTCACTGCATGATGTAGCAGCAGGTGCAGCAGCACTGTACACAAGTTTTGTTGATATTGTCCACTCTACAGGAGTACTTGTGTTTTTGTAGCATTATGAGATGATGATTAGCACTTTCTCCATTGTAAACTTGGTTACATCTACCACAGAGGATGTTGTAGACCCCTGAGTCCTATGTAGGATGGGGGGGGGGGTCCTTGTCATATCTCTGATACCTTTACTGTTGATATACTTTTGATGAGTTTTGCAAGTCTTACTACTCTGAGATGATTTTGATGACAACCACAGCAATATTGATGTTGGATCTGTGTGGTATAGGGGTCACTATCTTGGCTGTAGTACTATGTGCAATAATATATAATGAATGACACTTGCAACATCTGGCGATCTATATTGATGTTGCACAACTCGTCGATTTTCTAAACCACTTACATCACACAATAATATATCTTCATTCAATAATATTCTGGTCTCTGGCATATTGGTTCATAATATCCATTTTATGTTTGCAGTGAAAGATCATGTGGTGAGGGAATTTAAGGTTGGAGAAGGTGTTTCCACGCATTCTTGCCCACCCTTAATTATGTGCTCACTGCTGACTCCAAGAACCCGCAGGAGAAAAGCAGTTAACTCATTTGTTATAGACAGTAGTGTCTAACACTATTATAGACAGTGGTGTCTACTAACACTATTATAGACAGTGGTGTCTACTAACACTATTATAGACAGTGGTGTCTACTAACACTATTATAGACAGTGGTGTCTACTAACACTATTACAGACAGTGGTGTCTACTAACACTATTATAGACAGTGGTGTCTACTAACACTATTATAGACAGTGGTGTCTACTAAAACTTATAGACAGTGGTGTCTACTAACACTATTAAAGACAGTGGTGTCTACTAACACTGTTACAGACAGTTGTGTCTACTAACACTGTTATAGACAGTGGTGTCTACTAACACTGTTACAGAGTGGTGTCTACTAACACTGTTACAGACAGTGGTGTCTACTAACACTATTATAGACAGTGGTGTCTACTAACACTGTTACAGATAGTGGTGTCTACTAACACTGTTACAGACAGTGGTGTCTACTAACACTGTTGCAGACAGTGGTGTCTACTAACACTGTTACAGACAGTGGTGTCTACTAACACTGTTACAGACAGTGGTGTCTACTAACACTGTTACAGATAGTGGTGTCTACTAACACTGTTACAGACAGTGGTGTCTACTAACACTGTTACAGACAGTGGTGTCTACTAACACTGTTACAGACAGTAGTGTCTACTAACACTGTTACAGACAGTGGTGTCTACTAACACTGTTACAGACAGTGGTGTCTACTAACACTGTTACAGACAGTGGTGTCTACTAACACTGTTACAGACAGTGGTGTCTACCTGGAGTTTACCTGGAGAGAGTTCCGGGGGTCAACGCCCCCGCGACCCGGTCTGTGACCAGGCCTCCTGGTGGATCAGAGCCTGATCAACCAGGCTGTTGCTGCTGGCTGCACGCAAACCAACATACAAGCCACAGCCCAGCTGGTCAGGAACCGTCTTTAGGTGCTTGTCCAGTGCCAGCTTGAAGACTGCCAGGGGTCTGTTGGTAATCCCCCTTATGTATGCTGGGAGGCAGCTGAACAGTCTTGGGCCCCTGACACTTATTGTATGGTCTCTTAACATGCTAGTGACACCCCTGCTTTTCATTGGGGGGATGTTGCATCGTCTGCCAAGTCTTTTGCTTTCGTAGTGAGTGATTTTCATGTGCAAGTTCGCTACTAGTCCCTCTAGAATTTTCCAGGTGTATATAATCATGTATCTCTCCCGCCTGCGTTCCAGGGAATACAGTTTTAGGAACCTCAAGTGCTCCCAGTAATTGAGGTGTTTTATCTCCGTTATGCGCGCCGTGAAGGTTCTCTGTACATTTTCTAGGTCAGCAATTTCACCTGCCTTGAAAGGTGCTGTTAGTGTGCAGCAATATTCCAGCCTAGATAGAACAAGTGACCTGAAGTGTGTCATCATGGGCTTGGCCTCCCTAGTTTTGAAGGTTCTCATTATCCATCCAGTCATTTTTCTAGCAGATGCGATTGATACAATGTTATGGTCCTTGAAGGTGAGATCCTCCGACATGATCACTCCCAGGTCTTTGACGTTGGTGTTTCGCTCTATTTTGTGGCCAGAATTTGTTTTGTACTCTGAAGAAGATTTAATTTCCTCGTGTTTACCATATCTGAGTAATTGAAATTTCTCATCGCTGAACTTCATATTGTTTTCTGCAGCCCACTGAAAGATTCAGTTGATGTCCGCCAGGAGCCTTGCAGTGTCTGCAATGGAAGACACTGTTATGCAGATTCGGGTGTCATCTGCAAAGGAAGACACGGTGCTGTGGCTGACATCCTTGTCTATGTCGGATATGAGGATGAGGAACAAGATGGGAGCGAGTACTGTGCCTTGTGGAACAGAGCTTTTCACCGTAGCTGCCTCGGACTTTACTCTGTTGACGACTACTCTCTGTGTTCTGTTAGTGAGGAAATTATAGATCCATCGACCGACTTTTTCTGTTATTCCTTTAGCACACATTTTGTGCGCTATTACGCCATGGGCACACTTGTCGAAGGCTTTTGCAAAGTCTGTATATATTACATCTGCATTCTTTTTATCTTCTAGTGCATTTAGGACCTTGTCGTAGTGATCCAATAGTTGAGACAGACAGGAGCGACCTGTTCTAAACCCATGTTGCCCTGGGTTGTGTAACTGATGGGTTTCTAGTGGGTGGTGATCTTGTTCTAAGACCTTTCAAAGATTTTTATGATATGGGATGTTAGTGCTATCGGTCTGTAGTTCTTTGCTGTTGCTTTACTGCCCCCTTTGAGATGGCTATGTCTGTTGTTTTTAGTAAGTGGGACAGATCCACACCGACTTTTCACTGTTTCCCCTTTTCACCATTGGTGGAAAGCGTCATGACTAGGGGCTTCTTGCAAGTTCTTGATTATACACTGATTCCCTTTATCTGGCATGGGCCTGTCGAGTGCCAATGGGACATGCATTTAGCGCCTTTTTAAAGTCATTTGCCGTTAGGATAACTGGATAGGGTTGTTTACAATGTGTGGTGTCTTGCTCTTAAAAAATTTTTTTGATCTGCGGATGTTAGTCATGGTTAGTCTTGCTGTTGCTTAAAACTGAGCACCTTTGTGGACTTGGGGCTTATTCTTGTGTTTTTAGTAACGGACACCCTTCTGCTTTATAGGAGGGGCCCAATACTCGACATTGTTTCACGATTTGAGTTGGCCCTAGGAGAAGAAATTACATTTATGGTTTCTTTGCGCATTACATATATGGCTTTTAACTTTCCCATTCCTATCTATAAAATTCTTTGTTGATTTCGATCTGCTAGTCTGTGCCAGTGTCTTCTACGAGTTCATATATTGGGGCCCTTGCTAGCCCTCTGTTCTTCTTTTCTGTTAGACCACTTGTTTAAGGGGGCCCAATACTGACATTTTTCTCAACTTTTTTTCATGGGAGAGAAATACTTAGGTTCTTTCGAGTTCACAAGTTAACTCTGGTTCCTATGCCTAAAGTTCCGTTAGCTTGGTTGCTTGTATTACTCTCCAGTTATACGGTTAGTTAGACCTGTTTACTGTCTGTTATGTTTTTGTGCCTGTAAGGATTTGGTCTCTTCTATTTACATCTACTATCCATTTGTTCTTGAGGAATCTGTCCTACACATCCACAATAACACTGTTTGCAGACAGTTGGGTCTTTCTTAACACTCTTCAGAAGTTAGGTGTTTACTTGTCCACTTATGTTTTGAGAAGTGTTGGTGTACTACCTGTGACAGCAATGTGGTTTGGTCTACTAACACTGTTCAGACAGTGGCGTCTACTAACACTGTTGCAGACAGTGGTGTCTACTAACACTGTTACAGACAGTGGCGTCTACTAACACTGTTACAGACAGTGGCGTCTACTAACACTGTTACAGACAGTGGCGTCTACTAACACTGTTACAGACAGTGGTGTCTACTAACACTGTTACAGACAGTGGTGTCTACTAACACTGTTACAGACAGTGGTGTCTACTAACACTGTTACAGTGGCGTCTACTAACACTGTTACAGACAGTGGTGTCTACTAACATGTTACAGACAGTGGTGTCTACTAACACTGTTACAGACAGTGGCGAGTCCTACATCCAAGTTGAAGAGCACTAGTATGACAACTAAGATACTATCAGTATGCTTCATCTAGAGGTTGTGTCATAGAACAATATTGTTGCAGGTGTCACAGGTCAATGTTAGCAAAAACAGCACTCAAGGATCCTAATGGAAATAAGTGACTGACTTTTTTTGGGTTATCCTGGGTAATTTACACTATGATAATGGTACCTATCTATACCTTTACCTATATAAATTTGTTTACTAATCCCAATGCTCA